TCCCATGTTTTATAAAATCTGCTTCTGAATTATGAGTTCTTTCGAGAATAATAAACTTTTATGCGTTATGCCCTGTATTTAATTATCCATGATTGTTTTGTTCTGGTAAACTCACGTATATTATTACTGAACAGACCGCTACTGGTCTTGGCCTTCGAGAAAGCGGCTCTTCCGCCTCCTCAATATGGCAATTGGTATGGGGAAAAAGGCTTCTACTTCTTATAATGAGAAGGAAATCCATGCATTCCATATAAAATAATGCATGGAATGTTTTCTTTTATTGATTAAACGAAAGAAAACCGACACTCTCAAGGCTATATCTATAGCTATGTAGATATATATTTCTATACATGTATATATTTACATACATGTATACATATACATATCTATCTATCTATACATACATACACACACATGCACACACACACACACACACATATATATATATATATATATATATGTATATATATATGTATATGTGTGTGTGTATATATATGTGTGTATATATATATATATGTATATACATATACATATATACATATATATATATATATATATACATATACATGTATATATATACATATATATATGAATATATATATACATATATATATGAATATATATATACATATATATATATATATATATATATATATATGTATATATATAGATATACATATATATGTATATATATAGACATACATACATATATATATATAGGTAAGCTAACTTATCCTAATCTAATCAAACTTAACCTAACATAACTTGACCTGACCTAAACTTGATAAGCATAATTTAGCCTAACCTAGCATACTCAAACCTAACCTAAACCTAACCTAATATATGACGAAAGTAGTGTTGTGATTCTAAGTTAAGACATCCAACGTTTTGTGGAATCCATAGTATGGTCGTACAAAAGACTTGACCTAATATTTAAATTTATGCTAATTGAGAAATTAAGGTAAATTAACAAAGGAGGAGCATCAGTTCCCTCACCTTGCCCTCACGCATTATAAAAAGAAAGTTATTGATTTCGACAAGGTATATTACCCTAGAGAAATTCTAACCTGACACCCATTTGCTTTGTTGATTCCATAGTGCGTTCCTACAAAGAAAGTGAAACAAAATGGAAATGTATGCTAATTGACAAATTAAATGTGTAAAGATTAGGCTTAGATCAGGTTGGGTTAGGATAGGTCAAATTTCGGATAGGTTGGATAAGTTAGATTAAGTTGGGTTTTGTTGCGTTAGGTTATGTTAGATTTCGGCTAGGTTAGGTTTATTGCATTGGTTTAGGTTAGGATTGTTTCATGTTTCAGTTTTGCTTAAGTTAAGATTCGGTTAGATTATGTTAGGGCAAGTTAGGTTGGGTTTGGTTAGATTATATTTATTAGATTAATGTAGAAAAGGTATGAATGAGAATGAATGTCTTCAAAATACAAGAGATATATTTGACTGGTTTCGATTTTCTAAGGTATGGTTAGATTAGGTTTTAGTTGTTAGCTTAGGGTAGGGTAGGTTAGGTAGCTTAATACTTATTGTCAATAATATTTGGTTAACACTTTTTTTGGGGGGGAAGAAACATAAGCAGAAAGTGTATAATGTAGTCATCATAGAAAACACAGTGTCCAATTATAAAAAAAATATAATCAATGATCAAGTTGATTGAAAAATAGTCTAGAATGATAACATGTAATTACTGATCGTGTCTTTTGGGTGAGTATGTCTCGTTAAATTACAGATAACCCACTCTATAAACTAAAAAAGAAAAAAAAAAGTGTTTATGACGATCCTACACAAAATTCACCTTTCGAAGAATTAAAAATCCAAATTTTTAAATGTTTAGTGTTTCCTTATATCTAACCTCGTACCCAGAGGGTATTTTCCAAAGGTCCTAAAACGAATACTGCTAGATGTCTTTTGTTTCCTTGTACCTATCACAACCCAACCTACCGTAAATCTTCGCAAACCTAACTCAAAACCTAGAATCTAACTTTATGATTCTAACTAAATATAACCTTATGATTCTAACTAAATCTAACCTTATGATTCTAACTAAATCTAACCTTATGATTTTGATATATTCTAACCATCCTATGCTAAGCGTAACTTAAATTTAACCTAAACCAACATTTACTCAACCTAAAATAACGATTTCTAACCTTATAATTCTAAGTTAATCACTCTAACCTAAATGTAACATAAACTGAGTTAAACCATATCTAATCTATCCTAAACCTGACCTAACCTAACCTAACCTAAAATAACGATTTTACCCTAATTTACCATTCATAAACTTTCCTAACCTTACGATTTTACTCCAAATATTCTATCCTATACTAAACCTGAAATAATCTAACCCATATTTAACCTAAGCTAAACCTAACCTAACCCATCCTATATCTAGCCTAAAATAACGATTTTACTCTAACTTAACAATTGTAACCTAACTAGTCTAAACTAAACGCAACCTGAACTACCCTAATCCATACCTAACCTAACCTAAACGTGACCTAATCTACACCTAACCTAACCAAATCTAAACATTATCTAACCCAAGCTAAAGCTGATCTAACCTAACTTATCTATCCATAATCTAACCTAAACCTAACCTAACTAACCGAACCTAATTTAAACTAACCTAATCCTAAGATTCTACCCTAACTAAACTTTTCTACCCTAAACCTTATCTAACCTAAAATATCTAATTTATTTGTAACTTAACCTAATAAATCTAACATAACCTATCCTTAAGAATACATCCCAACGTAACAATTCTAAAACTTAACCTATCCATTCGATTCTAACCTAACCGAATCTAACTTAACTGATCTAAGGTAACCAAACCTTATGGTTCTAACTAACCTAACCATTTTAACCTACAAGTAAACCAACCTAACTCAGACCTAATTAAGCCTAACATAAGTATTCTAACCTAAATTACCATAATGTATATATACATACATAGTGAGAGAGAGAGCAGGAGAAGAGAGAGAGAGACAGAGGAAGAAAGACAGGGAGATGAAAAAAATATATATACATATACATAAAGAGAGAGAGAGAAGAAAAGAGAAGGAGAGAGAAGAGAGAGTGGGAGGGGGAGCGAGAGTAGAAGAAAGAAAAAGATGCGAGAAAGGTTGAGAGAGAATAAGAGAGAAGGGAGGAGAGAGGAAAGAGAGGGGGGGGGGGAGAGAAAGGAAGAGAGAGAGAGATGACTTGAGTTAAGCTATCTATGCGTAAAAGGCCAACCTCTGCAATACTTTCTTCACGGATCACCATAACTACGCATGTGTAGAAATATGAACTCAATACTTGGTGATGTTTAATTATGTCTAATTCAGTTTCGGTTAATCTGAATGCTATTTACCCACATTTGATCAGCTGAGCGAGAGAAAGGATATTTTGTTGTTTCAACTCGAGGGTGGCTCTTAGAACTTCCTAGAAGGGAAAATAAACAAAATGTCTGCGAACTTACTCCTAATATATATCACATATATGTATAGATAGATATTTCTTTTTACATATTTTTATTTTATTTTAGCTACTATCATTATTGTTATTATTATTATTATTATTATCATTATATATATATATATATATACATATATATATGTATTTGCGGGGCTTCAATAATTTTCATATCTTGGTATGGTGCTTATTAATTTCTAAGATATTTTACTATCATTTTATTGCTAAAAATAACGCTAATATTAATTGTAGAAAAGAAAGACCAATACTGGGGGCAGTCATAATTACAATAAGAACTATCTATTGCTATTCTTATCTTTGTTAAATCCCCGGGACAGAGATGACGTGAGGTCCCGCTTTCCTACTTAAGACTTTCCATTCCCTCTTAGCATGGTCTGTCTTGATGTTGGGAGGTTTTTCCACATTAACCGTTTCCCAAACATTAACAATATTCGCCAAGACATCTTTCATCGCGTTTCAGCCACGTGCTTAGCTTGGATGCGGAAAAACTTTCATGTTTTTTTGGTCATGAATCCACTTCGTAACTGGCCTTCACGTGTGTATTGGTCACTTATCATGCACCATTCCACTATTTTCTTATAGAGACTGTAATTACTTCATTGCTATGGAGCAGTTACTTTTCACTTAATAGGACTTTGATCACGACAGTCCGGTGATACGTCCTTGTTTATTCTTTATAATGAATTTTCGTTCAATAATGTAACAAATGCACCCGGAATAAAAACATGTGATGGAATGGGCAATGAAGCACTCATAGTCCCTTAAATTTCATGCTTATTCATGCCACATATATAAATAAATAAATGTGTGTATATATATATTCAATGTCACTATCCATGCGTATTACTAATAACAAAATATGTAATCAAGGTATGATTATGAACATCACACTAAATATATCTTCCAATATTATAAAAGCAGTGACGCCATGCCCATGGCATGGAAGGTGCCCCAGTTCATATGTTTAAAGCATTCCTCAATGTTCTGAATTCCTTTATTGTCAATCAGGTAGCAGGACAGGTAGCAGTCACTTTTCGCCTTCTGATCTCTTTCTAAGGAAACATTCTTTAGATCTAAATATAAATTAGATATATGTGCTCTCATTAAATGATTCTGCTTACTTAATGATCCTGGTATCTTGTATGTAGCGTATAAAATAAAGTTTCATCATAATTCTTGTATTTTTTGTTGGTAATTGAAGTGTTAACATTTATTATTGTAACGATAACTGTGAATACTATCACTGTTTATATAATGATAACAGTGATAATACTGATAACCTTTATAATAATTATAATGATACCAATAATATGTTGATCATAATAATATTTATAAGAAGCAATAAAATGACGATAGCGTTGACAAAGATGATCACCATGAAATAATGATGATAATAATTATTATATTATCATATTACTATTGATAATTATAACAATAGTAAAAAATATTGATAATAAAAAATAATTATGTTCATAAAAAAATTAACAATAATATTAATCATAATAATGTCA